CTGAGCCGCAATTAAGAGTCAGATACTTAACCGACTGAACCACCCAGGTGCCCCAAACACCTAGAGATTGAGGAAAAGTGGCTGGTTCTTCCGAAGTCAACTTTGACCTGGGACCAACAACTCTGTAAGAAATAGTTATCTAGTCACTGAGAGTTAACAGCGTGCAAAAACATTTAATCTCAAAGCCAAGCTGAGCTGGTATGTTAATAGAGGACAAGGCAAGTATGTGAACCAGGGAAAAGGTTGAAAAGAATAAAAGCCCCCAATAGCTACAATATCAGCCCCATTCTAAAGAGGGATTTTATACATCTGTCTCTGTATTTAGCTCTAAACTGCAGGTTACTGTAGTTCATCTGGGTATTTGGAATTGAATGCAAATGTTTTTTTAGTATATTATCTTCTTACATATATTATGACTGAAAGAATTTTGCTCTTCACAACTTCATAACCTTGAATGTGAACATTAAGGGAAAATGCTAACTAGGAATCCTCATAACACCAAGTCCAGTGCTCCCTTGATTATCAAAAGTTAGGCAATCTATTGCCTCTTCATTCCATACTCTTAAGTATTAGTTTCTCCTTTTGACTTTGGAGACAAGACATGCCTTTCTCTTTCACCAACAACAGTGATAATCACTGTTAGTTTCAAAGAATTCATTCAGGAAGCAGAATCCCCCCTATAGTCAGTCTGGGCTGGGAGCTGACAGGCCAAGGTGATCAACTGTATAATTAGTGTATTTGCTTGAGTGTTATAAGAAGTACACAGAGCACACATCTGGGTTATAAAAGCCCTTTTATAAAGCCATTTTTAAACAAAACAAAAAAAAAGTTTACAAAAGAAAAAAAAGATACAGAAAAAGAATAACTTGCTTCATATGTCCCAAAAAGAGAAAAAAATAAAGGGGACAATGCCAACATGCTCAACAATAAAGGGTTCTTTTTCTTATTTTTTTTTAATACAAAATACAAGCAAAGGATACACATACTCAAAACAGAGCTCAGGAGCAGACACGCAGTCCTGGAGACCCTTCAATAAAGAAAGCAGGAGTTTGTTTTTTCTTTGTCTATGCAGATACATACAGAGACTGGGATATGTAAAAAATTAAGTATCACAAAAGACCATCACACAAGTCTATCAATGCATGTTGCATCTATAATTCACGAACATGGTCAACAAAATCATGTTCACTTCAACCTCATTTCATTTAAATTAAAAAAAATTTTTTTAAATAAAGTGGTTACATTCAAACTTTAACTTCCTTAGTACCATGCTGCAGATGTCAGCACCCTGAAGGTATCGCAAGGATGCCCAACCCCCAGGTGTCTGGTGGTGTATCTAGCAACACTGTAGTATTAAGAAAGGATGCCCCCCATCTCAGCCCATGGACTAATTAAATACATTGAAACAGGTTCCTCTCTATAATCCTTCCTGCTCAGAACACAGAAGATTAAGAACAAAAATCAAGGAAGACTGGGAGTTTTAGAGCTGGCAAAACGAAGTCTGAAAGATGATGAATCAAGGCAATTACTGAGAACTCGGCTGCTGCTTAACCTGGCAAGTCTTAAAGTCTTTCCTTAAATCTTGCAGGAATTAGGTGTATAAGGTTTGCTGCAACATGTTCATGGTAAACAAACTAAGTAGAGCTCTTATTTACAAATCTTGTAACAAATACTTCTGGAGGAAAAGAAGAAAAGAAATCACTTATTTCCCGGAGACAAAAGTTTACTTGCCAGACATATACAAACACACACTCACACACACACACACACACACACACACAATACTTTGGAGGGTTTTATACATGTTATTTAGGGCATAAGCTGAGTACTGTACCCCTACACTCCATTGAAAAAGGAACCAAAAAAAAAAAAAATCCCAATTTTACCCTCCCCCCCATAAACCTAGAAAACCCTCCCTTCACCCCTGATGTACAAAGTGTATGCACAATGGTGGCATTCCATCAGCCACACAAAGCATGCTCAGACAGATGTCACCAGCTCAGTCACTCCATTGGCATGGCAACAGGCAGGTTTACGGGACTTTTCCCAATAGTGGTTAATGCACAGTCAGCACCACTGTGAATTTTGTGAGTTAGGCTTTGAAAAAGAGTGTCACTTAGGGATTTGGGATTCAAAGTCATTTTGTATCAAGTTTATCCCAAGATGAAAGGAAAATGGGTTGCAGATGGAAACTTTGCTATAGATAGCTTGATGTCCCAATATTCAAACTACGTCCCTTTTCAAATAAACCCAGCTCTATGCACAGAGAAAAGACACTTTTCCGACCCCAAGAGCAAACGGCTTGTTTTATTTTCCCTATCCTGTGGCATGAAATGTTTATTACTTGTCTGTCTGAATGCCATTGAAGACCAGAGCCCAGGTTTTATCCTTTCTGAACTCCTAAGGTGACAGTTCCTTCACAGTAACAGCTACTGGTGATGCAGGAACAGAAAAGAACTGTTCAAATCCAAACACCCACTCTATAGAACAGCAACAGTGGCCAACATGGTCTTTTATAAAGCTTTCCCTGTTGCTCCTGGCAAATTCTGCTACTACACTCAAAGCATCTCCTACACTGGTTTAAAGAAAAGCACCTCCTCCTTCTCCCAACCAGGACTTTATCTAAAATCCACTTGTTACTTGTATGTTCATGGATAAACGAAGAAATGTTAAAAAAAAAAAAAAAAAGAAAAGAAAAGAAAAAAGCAAGCAAGCATTGAAGTCAGTCTAGCTGACCATTATCCACAGCGTCAAAAACTTTACTGGATTATAACCTCAAATTCCACTCTTGATTTGTTACCTGTAAGAAAATGCTCTTTCAACTAGTGCCAAAGGTAAGCACAAACTGAGGATTGAAATGGGGCAAACCAGTTACTATGGGGGGGAAGAAAATCTGTATCCAAGCTCCTTCCTGGGAAATCAACTGCTCTTCTTCCAGAGGAAAACACTCACACCGTTACCTCCTCGAAGGAGAGATACACCCATTAATTTCCCTTCATGGACTCCATAAAGAATGGGACTATGAAAGGGAGAGGCGTTTCCGTAAGCAGGACAAATCTACTAGCACTGAAACTCAAGCATATCCAGTGGGCCCACTCCATTGATTCCAATTTGAGGTGGGGAGTGCTAAAAGCAGCAGCAAGTTACGGATTTAGTAAGATGTAAGCTACCCATTTCTAGCTGTGGATGGTGGAGAGAGGAGTCTGGAAATATCTTAAGAACTAGAATGTAGTGTCCGTTAGCATAGCTGCCGAGATCCATGTTCCAGAGGGAAACCTAACAGAGCTAAGAGAATTCAGGTACCACAAACAAGCACCTTCCGAGTGAAGGTCCCACTTCCTGAGCACTGCAAACAAGACCGTGAATGACGCTCTTGCCATTTCACCATAGGCACACTAGAGGAAAAAAATGGGAGTTGAGTCAAGGGTGGTGCCAACGGCCAGTCATTGTCAGCTTCTAGCTTGTAACCAGTCCTGGCATCGCTACCAAGCCTGACTATTGAGCACCTGTTTCCAGTTGAGACACCACAGTTGTCCTCCTATATGCATGCATGATTTGAGGGGAAGACTAGAGTGTTTTGAATCATCAACAAAAAGGTGGAGAAAACAAAGGTCATTCAGAGCCTGTCTCACTTGGGGACACAGATCCTTTTGTCTAGTCCATTAGAAATATAGAAGAAATTTTTCAATCTCATGAGTTAATTTTTTAAAAAGGGATCACAACCAAATGCACACAAGTAACCTAAAAGACAGGATTACCTCTAAGAGAATAAGCGTGTATCACAGAGAGGTTAGTGCAGATTAATATATTAAAGAGACTGTTACATAAAATACCAAGGCTAAAGTTTTAAAAGACACCCCCCATCTGCACGAAACATAATGTAAGAAAAGTCCAAATGTTACTAGGAATGTAGGACTTAAAGTTATAAATCCCTAAAAATTGAAGTGCATGGTGGAAACACTGGGAGGTCTTTTGACTATATGAACACAAACCTTCTTGTTAAAATCGGATACCCCAACAAACCCACCAAAGCAGAATAATCTTTAACACCCTCGTGACAAAGTTCACAACTCTAAAGTCAACCATCATGAAAGATAATAATCCAACTGCTACTTATGTTCAAGTTTTGCATTTTTGGCCAAGTACCAAAATCTCCAAATTCATTCTCTAACACGCACAGCGCACAACAGTGAAATGACTCTGCCACTGGGTGTTATTTTAAAAAGTCATGGAGTAAGGACAGTCTTTAAAGTGTCTTAAAAATCAGAGTACAAATATTCCATAAATAACCTTTTGTCCTAGGAATATCTGCAAGAAAGCCATGTTGTGTAAGAGAAAAACATGCTCTAACTTAAAAGATAGCAAGAAAACTGCATAGGATATTGAAGCGGCACACCTAGATAAAAAGGCAGAGGTTAAATTTCACTATTTTTTTCCAACTTATTAGCATGCTAAGACCCCTAAACCTCGCTCCCATGAGCTCGTGGTATCAGGATGGAGAATCAAACCTACAGAACTATCTCCTGACTGTTTTCATAAGGCATGTAGAGTCTGTTATCGCTGGCACATGGGCTCCTAACCACATGGGTCTCCCTAGCTCTGAGCCCCTTAAACTTCTGCTTTAAACATGAGCAGTAAGCAGGGGCACTGTAAAAAGACAAAAGCAAATTGAAAGGTATGGGAGCAGCATTTACCATACTCCCAACCAAGCACAGAAGGTGAAACAAGTGAAGAATAGAGCCAGGAGAAATCAATCATGTCTTAGAGCAGAGCTAACAGGCTTTGAGGATGGGGTATGCAGTGGTATCTATGTAGGAACAGGAAGCTGAGAGATGCATTTCATGTGTCTCCAAAGAAATGGGAAGATAGGTTATGAAGACAAAAATGTTCTATCCCCAAATAAAAACAGAGCATGGTTCATGGGATCTGAATGCGTATTTTTGGCTTAAAAGAATTTCAACTTGCTGTTTTCATAAAGGAAAAATCTCAAGTCTTTGTGATCGAGTTTCACATTAATTGGTACTTTATTTGCTTAAAACCTAAACAATGTCAGTTAAGAAAAAATTCACTCTGGTGTATAGATCTTGCCATTTAAATTCTAGAGTTCTTTTTCTTTTCCTTTTTTGATCCTTGGTAAAATGTTATCCAAGAAACAGAATAGATACATATATATTTTAAAACATGAACTATTAGAGAATGAAATAAAGAAATCAAGAGTGATTTAAGTTTTGGCGGTCCTTTTTTTTTTTTTTTTTTTTTTTTTTTTTTTAAGTTCCTGAAAGACTGTAGCAGGATAAAGGATCACTGGCTCGGGGTCTCTTGAGATAACAAGTGATGAAATTAAAAAACAAAACAAACAAAAAAAGAAAACCACACCCTCAAACAAGGTAAGGTAACACCATCCCCTGCCTTGCCCCCAATGTAAAAAATATGGAATACTTTTAGTAACAATGCAGAATTCATTCTTATCTCCTACCTGCCCCATCAGTGGAAGTTTAACATCATGATTTTTCTAGACATCTAGACTTCTGTATATATAGACATATAAACTTGTATTAGATGACAACTTATTTTTTTTTAAGTCCAGGTAGAGAAAGAAGCAATCATTTTTAACTAAAACCCTTCTACATTTTTTGATTATGGTCAACTTGCTACTGTTTAGCAAAAAGCAAAATTTCCATAGTGTTCATCTCAAATCTTATTGCTTTACAACTGTGGTATACCTTCCATTAAGAATAAAAAGGTGAAGCAGTCAATCCAGTGATTACTTTGACATGGCTTTCATTGGGAGGGGGTGGGAAAGAGGGGTGATGGCAAAGAGAGGACCAATAGACAAAAAGGTAAATTGAACTTACAATGGTTTTCTTAAAAGAGAGAGAGAGAGAGAGAGAGAGAGAGAGAGAATGTTATTTTTAAGAAAAAGAAAAAAAGCATTGAAAGCCCATGAGTCAAGCCATAGCCAAAACCATGTTCTATCTTAAGTAGGTTTCTTTTTTTCCCCCTTTTTCTTTTTTCTTTTTTTTTCTCTTTTTTTTTAATAAAATCTCTCCCCAAACCATCATCACTTTTTTAATCCTCCCCAGACTGGGCTTCATCTTCGGACCCTTCATCCCCAGATTTCTCAGGTGGAGGACTTGCAGAGGGCTTCTTTTCTGGAGGGCTTTCTGGTTCCTCGTCTTCTTCTTTGGGAGAAGGAGTCTTTTCCTTTGATGCCTTTGAAGCTGTGGGGCGACCTACCTTCCCTTTGCCTTTCACGGGGCTTGGAGTCACTGGAAGAAGAAAAATACCAATGTGGGGCAGGGAAAAGAAGAAGAGATCTTTAATAAAAATTGGCTATAAACAAAACAAAACTAAAAGAATGCAATCTATAAATCTGAGTAAAAATCAAAGTGGGCACTGGTTCCCAATCATTCTTGCCAACACTATGGTGCTATCTAGCAGTAATGTTTATAATAAGGAAAACAGGACGGTACAGAAACTGCATACTATCCTTAGTGGTTTGTGAAACCAACCACTAAGTTGGTTGTGATATAAGTCATGTTTCACTTTTTGTGAAAAGTTGTGATAAAAGTCATGTTTATTATTATTTTTTTAAATAAAGATTTTATTTATTTATTCATGAGAAACACAGAGAGAGGCAGAGACATAGGGAGAGGGAGAAGAAGCAAGCTCCCTGCCGGGAACTTGATGCAGGACTCAATCCCAGGACCCCAGAATCATGACCTGAGCCAAAGGCAGATGCTCAACCACTGGGCCACTTGGGTGCCCCAAAGTCATGTTTAAAAAGCGGGTCAAAAAGAATAGATACAACGTGAATAGGAACTGAAGTCATCAAATTTTTTCTAAAAAGTCTTCTAAGGATGTGTTTTATTTTTTTAACTAAATTCTATGCCCAACATGGGACTCAAACTCACAACTGAGATCAACAGTCCCATGCCCTACCACTGAGCCAGTTGGGTCCGCCTGCCCAACTAACTTTTTTTTTTTTTAATAAATTTTTATTTATTTATGATAGGCACACAGAGAGAGAGAGATGCAGAGACACAGGCAGAGGGAGAAGCAGGCTCCATGCACCGGGAGCCCGACGTGGGACTCGATCCCGGGTCTCCAGGATCGCGCCCCGGGCCAAAGGCAGGCGCCAAACTGCTGCGCCACCCAGGGATCCCCCCAACTAACTTTTGACAGTTCCACGATGTGTACTATCATATCACTAAGTGATGAGTAAAAAATTTAAAAACCACCAGTTCTGCCACAAAAAACAAAGCAAATCTAGCTTTCTGATTTAATGACAAACTAGCCATGACTCAGAAAATACCTGGCAGAAACAACAACAGCTCAGAGAAAATGAAACCCTGTTGCCAAGTGTGGTTTTATTCTGCCAATACAAAGGATGATATAAAGATCAGACCGCAGTAGTGAATCCTAAGATAATATATAGGTGTGCTCTTTCACAATTTCAAGTCTTTCCTAGCTGCTGAGGTTGTGCCATCGGTGGGAAAAAGCACAAGGCGCAGCTATGATGCTGCTGCAGTGTTTCTACCACGGTCACTGCCAAACCTCGCTGTGTAAGGCAGCAGCAGAGGGATGGGGCTGCGCCACCAGACTTTTGCAGGGGCTATAGATCTTATTTATAAATATGTGATCCTCTCAAGTGTGGAAAACCAGATCCTCGCAGAATGCTCCTATTTTTGTTAGGTATGTGGCTAATGCCAAGCCCTGATGAAGAATTTCTGTAGAAAAAGTTTAGTGGTTCATGAAATTTTTCAAAGCAGCTGTTTGGTTTCACTTGTGTACAACTCACCTGTAGCCTTTAGCCTGGGTTTGGGCATTTTCTTTTCTTTTCTCTCAGGTTTGGACTTCTTAACCATCTTTTTGTTTTTCTTTTTTGAACTGCCATAGTCACTATCGTCATCATCTTCCATGAGGAAATCTTCATCGCTGCCAGAATCTTCTGAGAGGAAAGAAGAAATTTCAACGTCCAACTTAATGTATACACCTTTCCGAGCAAACGAAGGGAGACAGCGCTAAGCATGACTGCAGGATGGGATCTGGGAGTCAAACACTCTTGGATTCTGGTGGCAGCTGTGCTACCAACCTGGCTGGAGTGGCCACCGGCCCCATACATGGGATGGGTTTGGCACGCACATGAGGGATGCACCATGGACTTGTTTAAAGACTTGGTTGAGGGATCCCTGGGTGGTGCAGCGGTTTGGCACCTGCCTTTGGCCCAGGGCGCGATCCTGGAGACCGGGGATCGAATCCCATGTCGGGCTCCCGGTGCATGGAGCCTGCTTCTCCCTCTGCCTGTGTCTCTGCCTCTCTCTCTCTCTGTGACTATCATAAATAAATAAAAATTTAAAAAAAAATTATATATATATAAAAAAAAGAGACTTGGTTGAAGGCAGCCCAGGTGGCTCAGCAGTTTAGCACTGCCTTCAGCCCAGGACATGATCCTAGAGACCCAGGATCGAGTCCCATGTCAGGCTCCCTGCATGGAGCCTGCTTCTCCCTCTGCCTGTCTCTCTCTCTCTCTCTTTCTGTGTGTCTCTCATGAAAATTAAATAAATAAGATCTTAAAAAAAAAAAAAAAGACTTGGCTGAAAACGGGAAGAGATAAAATTTAATCTGAATAAAAACTGAAGCCACCACGTAACTTTCTTCCCCCCCATCAAATAACTTTTGGTAGTTCCATCATTCCCTGATAGTACCAGAGAGACCAGGGAAATGAAACAGAACCAATTGGGAGTATCTGGTCCAACTATGAAGAAATGAAACCAGAAAGCTGAATACAAAGCAAAAATACATGTAAGTTTCACCTACCATACAAAAAATCTAAATTCTGTTATTATTATTTTTTTGTTGTTGCTGGGGGAGGAAGGCTACAACTGTTGCTCCCATGCCAAAATACAAATCCTAATCACAACACCCACCATGTAACTATCACTTTAACAACTGTTCGTTTAGTATTTGAGTTCAAATGATGGCCATCATAATCAAGAGAATCCTTGATCCTCTTAAAATATCAACCAGTATCAAAACCAGTGATCTCTTCTAACTATGAATATCTAATATAAGGGACTGGCTCTAACATTTAGCCACAACAACAGAGGCAATCAAGATCACAAACTGTAATCATGACTCCCGTAAGCCAACTTCACTTACTCTCCTGGAATGGTGCCTCATCCTCCTCTTCTTGCTCTTCTTCACTGCCCACGTCTTCCATGAGCATCTCTCTCTGTTTGGAAGCTGCTTTAGAGGCTGCCTGCCGTTGCTGGCGTACATTTTTATGATCTTCTTTTTCATCTTCACTATCCTCTGTAATATCAAAGTTATTATGCAGTGATCAAAAAGTTGTGCATTTATCTGATGGCTGACCAAGAAAGCCGATATGAGATAGAACCTGTAGCTTTATTTCCTTCAAACGAGGTAAATTCTATACTTAAAAATTCCTACAAAATATACAAAAGAGGAACTAAAATTCAAAGAATGAACTTGAAAAAAAAGCTGAATTTAGGTGCTTCCTTAAACTTGTATCATTGTGTCGCCCTAAAATTATCAATTACATTTTGATCTATGTTCACAGTTTTTAAAAACTAAAGTTAGATGGAGTCTGCTTCTCCCTCTGCCTATGTCTCTGCCTCTCTGTGTGTCTCTTATGAATAAATAAATAAAATCCTTAAAAAAAGAAAAAAGAAGTGTGAGAGTGGGGGTGGGGGGTCAGAGGGAAAGGGAGACAGGCAATCTTAAGCACGCAGCAAGCTAGGCTCCATGCAGACACGGGGGGCTCCTGATCTTAAGACCCTGAGATCATGACCTGAGCTAGAAGCTTAATGAATTGAGCCATTCAGATGCCCCTAGAAAAATATTTTCAAATGGAAGAGGGGAAGACTGTCCTTCAATGATACTTATTCTAAGGTACAAAACATATTTCTTTTCAACTTAGGCAGTCAGATAATAGGCTAGAAAAGGAAAGAAAGCAAACAGCTCAATGGAGTGAATTTAGGAGAGCTCTGTCTACCCTCCACATATTAGCTAATAGCAATCTCATTTAAAGGGAGAGCTAGGAAGGCAAAAGCAGGGTAGTGTACATCAAAACTAAAGTGGTTGGGAGCAATGTGGAATAAACCCTTAATAAGTAGAAGAGTTAAATTCAGAAAAATAAATATCAATAAGTAATTAGGATTTAACTTTAGTATATGTGCTGCCGAAGCAAGCACAGGATTTAACAAATAAAACAAATGAAATTTGGCCATGGAGTCTATTAACTCTTTTGAGTTAAAATTCTTGCCAAGAAAGCTTTCTCTATGGCCACTGTTTCTTTCTTTTTTTTTTTTTTTTAATTTATTTATTCATGAGAGATGCAGAGAGGGAAGCAGAGACACAGGCAGAGGGAGAAGCAGGCTCTATGCACCGGGAGCCAGACGTGGGATTCGATCCTGGGTCTCCACGATCGTCCCCTGGGCCAAAGGCAGGTGCCAAACCGCTGCGCCACCCAGGGATCCCATATGGCCACTGTTTCTAAGGACTACTTGTGGCAAAACTATCCTTTGCTTGTTTTTTTTTTTTTTTAAGATTTTATTCATGAGAGACACATACACAGAGAGAAAGAAGCAGAGACACAGGCAGAGGGAAAAGCAGGCTTCATGCAGGGATGTGGGACTCGATCCCATGTCTCCAGAATCATGCCCTGGGCCAAAGGCGGCACTAAACCCCTGAGCCACCAGGGCTGCTCCTTTGCTTGCTCTTTACCCCAGAGTTCATCACCATCTCCCTTTTTTAGAGCTCTATGTCATTAGTATTATATATGCTCTTTTATTATTATTATTAAAGATTCTATTTATTTATTCGACAGAAAGAGAGCATGAGAGTGTGTGTACACACGCAAGGAGAGGGGCAAGAAGCAGGATCCCGCTGAGCAGGGAGCCTGAGGTGGGGCTCCATCCTAGGGCCCTAGGATCATGACCTGAGCTGAAGGCAGATGCTTAGCCACTGAGCCACCTGGGTGCCTCACGCTCTTTTAAATCTATTTAGTTTGATATTTGTTCATGTAAATAGTTTTCTATGTTAATTGTGTATGAGAATAATCTGCACAATTAAAGTAAAAATAAAATTTTTATTTATTGTATTATTTTTTTAGATTTTATTTATTTGAGAGCATGAGCATGGGGGAGAGGGAGACGGAGAGGATGAAGCAGATTCCCCAGTGAGCAGGGACAAAATATGAGGCTCAAACCCAGGACCCTGGGATCATGACCTGAGCCAAAGGCATAGTCTTAACCACCTGAGGCACCCAGGTGTCCCTGTAAATATTTTTAAAAAACAAAGCCCCAATGTTGCACTGAGACCTACTGAATCAGAAATCCTGGAGTAGGACAGAGCATGTAAGCATGTTAACAAACCCTCACAGGAGACTGGAGGTAAGCCACCAGCATTGAGCTCTTCAAAGACGGAAACATCTTTGTAATGCCAGTATTTACAACAGTGCTTGGCATTATTATAAAACCGCATATTAAAGGGTCCAGTGAATAAAAAGACATACATCAATCACCTATTACATTAAAAACTGTTTGCTACCTGCTGAGTGAGAATCATCTTTCTTGGTCTTCACATCTTTTTCTTCGGAGTCCTCACTATAAAGGAAAGGAGGGGAAAAGTTTAAAAGTCTTAGATCAATCTAACTGAACACAAACCACTGGTATCTCTAACAGGGGAAGAATCCTGAAGAATACCTCTTTTGTAGATGAAATATTCAAACCTGCTGAGGAATGAAGCTGGTTCTATTATTTCCCTAGCTTCACAGGGGTAGGGGTGCTAATGAATAAGCACAATTTTATGTGCTTTTGGAAAATACTGCTTCCAAAGACCCAAAGGAAGAAAAGACAGTATCTCAACATGGGCTGAAAATTTCTCACCTGTGGATAAGGCCTGGTTCACAAGAACATTTAATAATAAAAAATACAATTCTCTGTTGTCAGAGGCAGAGTACAAAAACACTGAAAATAAATTACCTAATATGTGAATGGTGGGAAAGTAGGCAAATAAATAGCACCAAATACAGATGCAAAACTCACCTAGTACACAATTATTAAAGGAGATTGGGAGTGCAGTTATATAAACTACAATATCCCTAAAAACTTACCTAAAACAAAATGAAAATCAATCAATTAATCATCTCATATTTTTTGCCTCCAATATTTCTAATATATCAAAAACCTCAACACATAGATCTGCCTCGTATCAGGAAGAAAATAAATGTCAGGCTCAAGAACACCTCAAAGTAAAATAAGGTGCCTCAAAGCTCAATGGAAAGTTTTATAAAACGGTTTTTAGTCTCACAAAGATGCACATTTTATGTCCTTACAAATCTTAACTTGGCAATCTGGGTTCTAGTGTCTTGTTTTTGTCATTAATTAGTTGTATGATCTCAAGCAAATCACTTGGTACTCTTCAGTGCTAAAATTTTACGATTCAATGAGAAATTCTGACAAAAAAAAGAAACGCTCATCCATGAAAACTGCCTTCATAGCTTTTTCAAACAGCAGGTCTTATAAATCTCTTTTAGTATTTCCTATAATCTAGACCACACTCAAATGACAAACTACCAAACGCAAGATTCCTGAACAAAGAGAAAAACCAAATATATTTTTTTACTAAGCAATCTGATCCAAGGCACACTGTAATTCTGAAACCTGTGACTATTCTAAATGTTTTTATGCAAAATAAGCACTTAATTCGCAAGTCACAATTTTGAGAAACTATTGCTTTCTCTAGTTCTTTTATTATTGAGTTTATAAAGACCATTAATCCTCGAATCCCATTATAATGAAGTCGAGTAAAAGCTGAAATTTTAAGTAGAGACCAGTAGAAAACTCAACCAACAATGGTCTGAGGAAATAAACTGTACAAGACACCTAATACAAATGGCAATAAAAATTCTATTTCAACCACTCCTGATACTTAGGAAAGAAAAATAAAACCAAATGATTAGAACAAAGAAAAGTTTAGGCTAGATATATAATTATATTGATGAGACATTATAATGGGTAGTAGGCCACACAAATCCATTCCTAAGAAAAATACAAAAAATGAATATAATGAAAGAGAAGCAAAGTTGGGCTGCTATATAAAACTGGATTAGAGAGATACACTACAAAACCATGGGATACTTGTTGCCCCACAACATAATTTTGCCTTGTTTTTCCTCAAAACCATGTTTCTGAAATTTTCTAGGAAAGAAAATACTGGAGGTAAATACTGTTACTTCTACAAATTTAGCATTCTGTGAATTCAGAATGGAAAGACTTCTGTGTGGGGCTTCATTTTATTAGATTTTAGTACTTGAAGTTAAGTATCTTGGAAGAACTGCTAAGATAAATTTTATTTCTTTGAACTTTCCTATGTAACAGTATTATCTGGAAGTAGTATAGCCTAATGGTTAAAACGTGGACTACAGAGTCCAACAGATATGGTCCCAAAACCTGTTGGACAATTCGCTGGATAACGTTGGATAAATCACAGAACCCTTCTCTAAGCTAGTATTATCCTAGTAAAGAATTAAATGATGATGAATACAAATTAGCAGATAATAGAGACCGGAAAAGAATCATAGATGGTAGTTATCATCATCATCATCATTAAGAAAGTCTTAAAGTTTGAGTATGAGAGTGTGTAGATCTGTGACAGAAGCAAAAATTACAATATCTAGCCTCATGAAGCAATCATAGATAAAAATCACAACTCCTCTGAACATGTTTATAAAACAAGGGAAAGGAAACTGCCACATGAATGATTACGGTATCTGAACAAAGGAGAATTGATTATAGATAGTAAAATTCAGAGGTGAAACAACCTAAGATTCTATAAGCTTTAGTTCCGATTCCGCCGTGTTGGGTGACTGAATGGGCGAGGGCATTCATTCTGCTAACACTACAATGAAAATGTCAACACTAATGCTAGGTAACAAATCACACACGTAAACAATCTCTCTGCTTATGTTCAGAAGTTTGAGGTAGCAACAAAAGCATTCTTGGAGATCACCTTGGATTCCAGGTTGAGTCCAAGCAAGCCTCATGACATTAAAGCAGCTCAGCTCTACATTCAAGAAGCACTGCCTGAGAGAGTAAGAAATAGGCAAAACATCAAGTGGACAATAAGCACTTTCCCACAGTAAATGGAGTGAATGGAGATTCCACCAAGTTAGAGATCAGAGCCAACCCTCACATCCAGCGTAAGCACAAGCACGAACAGATTAACAATGCCTCTTACCTATCCTCCTGTGAATTCTTTCCAGATCGCCTCTTATTTTTAGCTTCTCGGGGAGATGATCGAATTTTCTTAGCTGGAGGGCCTGAATCTCTTCCATAATCTTCATCTAAACAGATAATTTTTCAAATTCAATGAATTAGATTATGATTTTTACATGTAGAAATTGCCACTGTTTATTTATAAATATCTCTCATGCTACTTAAATGGTGAGGGGGTCAGGATTTCCCAAATAATTTTCTTTCACTTTTAAAAAGTAAATTGTTTTCTACCCCAGTCCCTTCTAGTCCTCATGTGTTTAATATATTTAATATATCCATAGCCAAATAAATATTTCTTACCAATTTATATCCTACCCTTTTAATTTCTTAAAGATATGCCATGTTTCGACATCTTCCAACTTATTTACTTGAAAACTATTAAACGGTAATAAAGCAATATATGCATTTTAGAATGTAGAGAGGACACAATTCTATAATCCTAACACAATTACTGTTATCAAGTAAATTACTTTAAAACCAAAGTATTAAATGTAGCATACTGACACTTAAGGGAAATACCTCCAATTTCAAAAGTCCTTTAACTAAAGAAAACTACCCAATCTTAAACATTGATTAATTCTTTTTAAAAAGACTTATTTATTTATTATAGAGGGATAGCGCATGCACGTAAGTGGGGGGAGTGGCAGAGGGAAAGGGACAGTCTTCCAGCAGTCTCCAGGCCCAGCACAGAGCCTGACGTAGGGTTCAGTCCCATGACCCTAAGATCTTGACCTGAGCTGAAATCAAGAGTCAGACACTAGGAACACCTGGGTGGCTCAGTGGTTGAGCATCTGCCATTGGCCCAGGGTGAGATCCTGGAGTCCTGGGATCGAGTCCCACATCAGGCTCCCTGCATGGAGCCTGCTTCTCTCTCTGCCTATGTCTCTGCCTCTCTCTCGGTCTCTCATGAATAAATAAATAAAATCATAAAAAAAAAAAAGAAAAGGGATCCCTGGGTGGCGCAGTGGTTTGGCGCCTGCCTTTGGCCCAGGGCGCAATCCTGGAGACCCGGGATCGAATCCCACGTCGGGCTCCCGGTGCGTGGAGCCTGCTTCTCCCTCTGCCTGTGTCTCTGCCTCTCTCTCTCTCTCTCTCTCTCACTGTGTGCCTATCATAAATAAATAAAAAAATTAAAAAAAAAAAGAAAAAGAAAAAAAAAGCCAGACGCTCAACTGACTGAGCCACCCAAGCGCCCCCATAATTGAATATTTCTAAAACTGTTTATTACTCTATTATATAGAATAGTGGAGATCTGGAAGCAGTCTGGAGCTTCAGTAATTATTAAATGGTTGGACACATTATAAATTCCATTATGAAATATCACACAACCATTTTTTTTAAATTTTTTATTTATTTATGAGAGAGAGAGAGAGAGAGAGAGAGAGAGAGAGGCGCAGAGACATAGGCAGAGGGAGAAGCAGGCTCCATGCACCGGGAGCCCGACGTGGGATTTGATCCCGGGTCTCCAGGATCACGCCCTGGGCCAAAGGCAGGCGCTAAACTGCTGCGCCACCCAGGGATCCCCGATATCACACAACCATTAACAGGAGTTTCTCAAATAACTTTTTGTAACAGGAGAAAGATACTCATAAGTAGGAGTGTGATGGGAGGGAGACAGAACCAAAGATTTTTTTTTTTTTTTTAGTATTTACTCGTGAGAGACACAGAGAGAGAGGCAGAGACATAGGCAGAGGGAGAAGCGGGCTCCCTATAGTGAGCCTGATATGGGACTTGTTCCCAGGGTCCTGGGATCGCAACCTGAGTCAAAAGGAGATGCTCAACCACTGAGCCACCCAGGCGCCCCAGAACCCAAATTCAATAGCAAGACTTCAACTACATTTTTATTTATTTATTTATTTATTTATTTATTTATTCATTCATTCATTCATTCATTCATTCATTCATTATTTATTTTAAAGATTTTATTTTATTTACTCATGAGAGATACAGAGCAAGCGAGCGAGAGAGGCAGAGGGAGAAGCAGGCTCCACGCAGGGAGCCCGACGAGGGACTTGATCCCGGGTCTCCAGGATCACAGGCAGCGCTAAACCGCTGTGCCACTGGGGCTGCCCTCAACCACATTTTTAAAAGGAGAGAAAAGACACAGGCTTTTTAAACAAAAAGATTAAAATGGTCATTTGCTAGCCAAGGGATCCTGAATAATATTTCTGCCCCAATTTCTTCATCTGTAAACAGTAACAGTATTTCCCATTTTATTAGAACTGCTCTACTAAGGATTAAATGAATAACTGCAAATATTTAACAAGCATTTAATAAATGTTAGTATTTCTTCCGGGAGGCTGGATTATATGTTATTACTCTTCTTTACATTTCTGCATTTTCTAAATTTTCCCAAAGTACACATATCTTTATAACTAAAATTGTATAAAAAAAAACCAAACAAACAAATAGCAAATGGATCTGAAAAATTATTAGAGTAAGGACATATTCTACAGAAACTTTTTATGGCTAAGATTTAAGACACACTACTCATTCCATGATGAATTAGTTCACAATTCAAATGTTTCACAAATATTCTCATGTTAGTTATTTTATCATGCAAAAACCTTAAACTACTATAAGGTACAAGTTTTGCTGTGATTATAACAGGAGAAATAGCTAATGAACACTGCATCAGAATTATTGTATATTTAAAGTGTGGAATCCAAAACCAGATAAGAAAAAAAGTATTCAAGTATTTACTATCAATGACTTACTAAGAAAAGTTAAAATCCATGCAAGTTCAACTTTTGTTTTGGGTGACACAGATCTTGACATAATTTACACAGTTTAAAAATAAAGAATAAAATTTATTTTAAAAGCATGATCTAAAAAAGTACGTTAAGTTGGCATTCTTTCATTATTAGTTGGCCCAACTTACAATTTACTGAAATCATGAAACTTACCAGCATCATCAGATTCCTGAAACTGTGAATAATCAACGACCTTTCTATTTCTGTAGAAAGAAGAGACTCTAATTAAGATCATAAAAAATGTAGGACTTTTCTATATTAGAACACAAGTTCCTATTTCATAAACAAAATTAGAACTAGCACTGTAAAAATTTTTCAACAAGTCTCCACCTCAGCCCAAAACCCTTCACGTGTTGCTGAAAAGTCTAGTTTAAACCAAAAGTATTTCAAACTACAATTCTCCGAACTGTTCTCATCTCAGTGATAGCTCAAATACTATTCTCTCCCTCAAAACCCTTTCAGCTCCCAAAACACACATAAAACAGCAAAATGCACCAAACTACCATATGTATTCATTAATGACACAGAGATATAACATGTGCATAAAAAAACTGTAATAAATGTTTTACATTTTTATTCTTACTGCTATACATATATAGATGTGTGTATACCTAACAAAATTATTACTGAGGTTTTTTTTAAGGCAAAGTGATTTTTAAATATAATGGTTACATTATAATATACAAATTATGATGACAGTAAATTAAGCCTTACACAGAAGAAACAAGTAACTGATTGAGTCAGGAGATGCTTTTTATTAAATGGTCTGTAATTAAGAAGTCTATGAAAGTCCCACAAATTTATTTATCTACTTGTCTCAGTGACTTTAAGTACTTCCTACTACGTAAGGGATCTTTAACAATCTGAACAAATCTCAATTTCCATTTTCCTACTTCATACTCTAAAAGTTTAAAATTTCTCCTTTAGAGATATATAAAAGCTTCAATGTCAGTATGCATATAGCCTGTCTTTGAGAAAAGAGCCTTGGAGGTACTGTACTAAATGGATACTGAATAAGTGAACTGAAAGTATTAAAAAAAACATACCAACTACCCTTACGCCTGAGAATATTCCTGATTTTATAGATTAAGACACCATTTATATCCAAAGACAGGATGCTCAGAATTCAAGCACACATAGAATTTCTTCATATGTGAATATAAAAGGTGGAGGAGTAAATTCTGAAAACATGTTTGGGGCTTAGATTGGAGGAAGGTATAGCCATATACCTTTGAAGAAGAAGAAAGATAGGTTCTTAAGGGATTTTGCCTTCTGTTTTTCTTTAGTCTACCAGCAATGAATTATCTTTTTATCATACGGCCTCAGTAAGTCAAGATGCAAAAGTATAAAACATAGTCTACATATGTTTTGTTAAAAGCAGCTGAGTTTATATATAAACAATGCCACTCTATTAGGAAAGTTAATTTTAAAAACGTGACTATTAATTCCACTTATATGAGATACGTAGAGCAGTCAAATTCATAGAGACAGAAAGCACGGTGAGGGTTCTTTCTCAGAAGTGGCTGTCTCAGTTGGCAGAGTGTGCAACTCTTGATTTCAGGGTTGTGAGCTTGAGACCGCTGTTGGGTGTAGCAACTATTTAAAATAAAATCAAATCTGGGATGCCTAGATAGCTCAGTGGAGTGTGGACTCTTGGTTTCAGCTCAGATCATGATCTCAGGGTCCAGAGATTGAGCCCTGAAGCTGAATCTGGTTGAGATCTACCTCCTAATCTTGTGCATGCTCTTTGTCAAATCAATCAATCAATCTTAGGAAGGAAGGAAGGAAGGAAGGAAGGAAGGAAGGAAGGAAGGAAGGAAGGAAGGAAAGAAAGAAGGGGAAAGAATGGTGGATGCCAGGGGCTAAGAGGAGGGGGATTAGTAAGTTAATGATATGTATAGTTTGTTTTGCAAGACAAAGAGTTCTGGAGGTTGAGTTTAAAACAGTGTGAATGTATTTAACACTATAGGCCTGTACACTTAAATTGATTAAGATGGTAAATTTCATGTGATTTTACTACAATTTAAAAAAAGAGTGAATCCCTGGGTGGCTCAGGGGTTTAGCCCCTGCCTTTGGCGCAGAGCGTGATCCTGGAGTCCCGGGATCGAGTCCCACGTCGGGCTTCCTGCATGGGCCTGCTTCCCCCTCTGACTGTGTCTCTGCCTCTCTCTCTCTCTCTCTCATGAAAAAATAAATAAAATCTTTAAAAAAATTAAAAAAAAAGATTAAAATAAAATTCTATCAAAAAACTATTTGGGGGCTGCTAACTAATTGCCTACTATATTTTAACAAAATAGTGATTTTTATTGACAGATGCTATGAAAAACAGTATAATGACCATTTTCTGCATTATTTAGGATCAAGATGGTACCCAAAAGTGGGAGTTTGAAATCTTAATCTCTAATAGTTAATGTACAGGTTCTGAAATTGCAGGCATAATAATTCTAATTTATCCATGCTGGTGGGATTGCAACTAAAATCATGATACAATTTCTGGGTACCATCTGCCAACAGATACATACATTCTATGAGACTATATAAAGGATGGCCAAGGGTATATCATATGAAGAGCAGCTGAATAAACTGAAATTAACTTGCAAAAGAGCAAATATGTTAGCTACTTTAAGGCTTTGAAAATAAGGGAGCAATAAACATACTGGCTTATTAGCTTCCTGATTAAGTGTGGGTTCAATATAAACAACTTTGTAGCAGTTAGCTAATGATAGTTACTTCCTTGATCTATCATTAGGAACACTCAGAAAGTTATTATCTCGTAAAAAGCACAGAATGTTTGTTAATAGGAATCTTGGGTTCTGGTTCTAGATCTTCGGGCAAATCACATGATTTTTCTGGGCCTCAGATCCTCCTCTGCTGGAACTAATGGCTTAAATTGCTGGACAGATCTAAAAAGTTATGCCATTTTTAAAAAAAAGTTTATTTAGGGCAGCCCTGGTGGCGCTGCGGTTTAGCGCCGCCTGCAGCCCAGGGCATGATCCTGGAGACCCTGGATCGAGTCCCACGTCGGGCTCCCTGCATGGAGCCTGCTTCTCCCTCTACCCCTCTCTCCCTCTGTTTCTCATGAATAAATAAATAAAATATTTAAAAAAAATAAAATAAAAAATAAAAGTTTAAGTCAACACTGGGCTCAAACAACCCCGTGATCAAGAGTTGGCACACTCTTCCAACTGAGCCAGCCAGGCATCCCTATACCGTAAATATACGTAAGATTATTATTAAAGTTCAAGGTAAAACTTTTTCTCAATTGTAAATGGTCACTTTCATTCTCTACACCACACATCTCAACTCATATCGCTGTACTATTTGTTTTCTGCACTAATTTGAGTTTCTTGAAGGTAACAATGGGCTTACATCCACATTTTCCCCTCAACATTTCTTTCTAATCACAAATCAAGGTAAAAAGTAGACATTCAAATGTTTTTTATTTTTCACTCTTAGGCCAAATTTACGAGCTCTGTTAGAAATCTAATTTTATAATACACTTGAGAGGATAATATCCAACCTCCTTAAAAGTCTTTGAAGGCCTTATCTTTTGCCACTTAATCAAGCAACCCAGAAATTTGTAATTCTTCCATCAAGTTATTTCTTATCACTTGTTCACGCTTCTCCTGGGCCTACATTTCTCCTTATGTCACTCCCACTCGTATCAGATACCTCACCTCCTCTCAATACCTTTAATCCTTTATTGATAACTATATAACCTACTAAACGTCTGTCTTCCCTACTAAATGTGAACTTGTGTCTCTTTCATTCAAAACACCAAAATTCAAGAAATGTGTTTAGGCGCACCTGAGTGGCTCAGCCAGTTAAGAGTCTGCCTTCAGCTCAGGTCAAGATCTCAGGGTCCTGGGATCAAGCACCACATCCTGGCTCCCTGCTCAGCAGGGAGTCGGCCTCTCCTACAGTTCATGCTCTCTCTGGCTCTCTGTCAAATCAATCGTTCAATCTTAAAAAAAAAAAAATATGTGTTTGATGAACAAATGGATTTGGCATCTGCAAATGGTCAGGGTGGGAAAGGGCATCATGAGAGAGCATATATACAGGAGCCTTCAGTTTAATTCCCACTGCCCTTAATGATAAAAGAAAATTTAATTTTAATTTTCTCCATATAAAATAACTAGTTATTTTAGATCTAAAAAATGTAAAAGGCTACTATTTAGAAATTTTTTCTACCCTAGTTTTCAACAAGCAGAACAACAACAAAAAATTGCTATGTAGACTATACTGATAGTATAGGAGTAATTAAATTTTTCAAAGTTAAATTCAAGGCCATTCCATTTGAAACAAAATATTTTACCTTCAATTATGTGAAAATGGCCGAAATTAACAGAATATCTCATGTACATAATAAATATCATTTATGGGGATCCCTGGGTGGCGCAGTGGTTTGGCGCCTGCCTTTGGCCCAGGGCGCAATCCTGGAGACCCGGGATCGAGTCCCACGTCGGGCTCCCTGCATGGAGCCTGCTTCTCCCTCTGCCTGTGCCTCTGCCTCTCTCTCTCTCTCTGTGTGACTATCATAAATAAATAAAAAATTAAAAAAAAAATAAATATCATTTATCACAGAAACCAGAAAACTTGAGTAAAGCAATTATAATAGAAGCAAATCTGTCTTAAGGATAACTAGATCCCGGGACGCCTGGGTGGCTCAGAGGCTGAGCGTCTGCCTTCAGCCCCAGGGCCTGATCCTGGAGTCTCGGGATCCGGATAGGTAATCGCATCCCACATCAGGCTCCCTGCATGGAGCCTGCTTCTTCCTCTCCCTGTGTCTCTGCCCCTCTCTCTCTCTCTGTATCTCTCATGAATAAATAAATAAAATCTTAAAAAAAAAAAAAGAGGATGACTAGATCCCCACCCAAAAAGAATATATCCATCCATAAATGTTAGAGGAAAAAGATAAAAATATTGAAATAAAGAATCTGAAATAAAGGATCTCATTACAATGATTTAGAATAATAATTCAGTTCATTTCCTGCCTTCTAAAGATGCTTCAAGGGTCCCGGGGTGGCTCAGCTGGTTAAGTGTCTGCCTTTAGCTCAGGTCATGATCCCAGAGTCCCGAGATCAAGTCCTGAATCGGGCTCCTGCTTCTCCCTCTCCCTCTGCCTGCCACTCACCCTGCTTGTGCTCTCTCTCTGTCATATAGTCTTTAAAAAGTAAACAGGGACACCTCGGTGGCTCAGTGG